GGGGGGGGGGGGTTCCACAGTTCTGCGGCCCAGCATGCACTTCTGCATGTGGGGGCACCGCCATCGTTTGTGAGCCTTCAGGTGTGTGAAGTGAACCGTCTCCGACGTGTTGAAGCAGCTGCAGCTCGTATGAAACAACCTGCTGGTTCTGAGACGAACACTTCAAACAGTTTTTAGACTTCAGGGGATCAGAACTGCAGTTGTCTTGAATTTTATTGTTCAGAAATCTTGTGGTGGGAAACATCCCAAACCACACACAGGTCCATGATCAGTGGTACTGATCTGATTCAGGAACATCTGTGGTGTCAATGAATTAATATCTGGACCGACCCACGCAGCCCTGCAGAAACCTTCAGGTCCACCCTCGCAGATAATAAATAACATTAAAGCTGGTGCAGATTCTGTTGGACTGAAGCTTTATTCTACAACAATGAGCTGCTCGGACCAACAGAATCTGCCAGGTTCTGTTTTGTTTGGATGTGTGAACGGGTCTAGATGTGAAGTGAAACCGGACCTTGATGCTGTTGAAAGGGTTCCAGCGGCGGGCCGGTGTCCCGGCGGTGTCAGAGTTCTTGTTGTTGTTGGCTCCCATCCTTTCCACCTGGACTGAAGAGCAGAACCTGAAACACAAACATCCGGCTGAATCAAAGCCCACTTCCTGACACCCGGACCCTCAATGTGGTCCCCCCCTCCCCCCAACAGTCCTGCAGCAAACTGAAACTTTCTGGAAAAGGACTCACTGGAACACAATGTTCAGCTCCACTCCAGCTGATGCCACGTTGGGCTGATTCAGCAGGTTTATGGTTCTAATGACTCAGCCCATGTGTCAGACCGGGTCTGGCAGGAGTCCCCCCCTCCCCAACCAGAACCTCTCCAGACAGACAGAGGGCTTTTATTGTAGTGGGACGAATGACTCAGCCCGTGTGTGAGACCACTAGCTTGACGGTGACACAAACGGTTTTACAGCTGAACTCTGACGAGACATGGCAACGTCTGCAGACGACATTGATCTGTGGTGAGAACAGGGAACAGGTGGAAGAGAACTTGGAGAGGTGGAGGTATGCACTTGAAAGAAGAGGAATGAAAGTCAGCCGTAGTAAGACAGAGTCCATGTGTGTGAATGAGAGGGAGGAGGTGGAACAGTGAGGCTACAAGGAGCAGAGGTCACAAAGGTGCAGGACTTCAAGGACTTGGGGTCCACTGTCCAGGAACATGGGGAGTGTGGTGAAGAAGAGAGTCCAGGCAGGATGGAGTGATGGAGAAGATCAGGAAAGAGATCATCAGAGGTCCAGCACAGGTTGAACAACTGGGAGATAAAGTTAGAGAGGACACAGAGATGGTTTGGACATGTCCAGAGGAGGGACAGTGGTTTGGACATGTCCAGAGGAGGGACAGTGGTTTGGACATGTCCAGAGGAGGGGCAGTGGTTTGGACATATCCAGAGGAGGGACAGTGGGTATATTGGTAGGATGTTAGAAATATGGATGCAGTTAGAGAGGACATGGAGGTAGTTGGAGTGAGGACAGAGCGAGGACAAAGTGAGGACAGAGAGAGATGGAGGAGGACTCGTTGTGGAGACCCCTGAAGAGGGAAAAGTTGAAAGAAGAAGAAGATTGATGTAACATGGACAGCAAACCCTGTTTTGGTGCTCATGTCCTCTCAGGACAGAGGGGATGGTAGACCTGTGGTCCAGCTGATAGACTTGGTGCAGGATGGTTCTGAGTCTTGGTAAAGCCCAGGGTCTGTGTTCAGACATTAGTCTGGAACACGATGGTCCACTCGGTGGGGTTTGTCTTGTGCTGGTTCAAACTCTATGAGAAGTGCAGAAGTTGTGTCTCACTGATGAGAACCCCACTGAGACCCCGTCTTGTGCACGGTCCCCGGGCAGAACCAGTTTCTCTCAGGTGTCTGAGCCACATGTTCTGTGATTGGTCGAAACTTTGTTGGCATGTTTATTCAAAGAGTGGCTGCAGGCGCTGCTCTGATTTATGGTGGAGGCTGAGAGGAAACACTGCTTCCATTCAACCGTTCCAGCAAAACTCATGAAGATGGTCAAGAACTTGTGGAAGGAGACTGGGTAGTTTTAAAGCACGGAGGAGACAGCGCGCCTTTCCATGGCTGTGCTGACCACAAGGACACCCCCCCACACTGTCTGTTAGAAATAAACTTACAAAGAGTGTTTTCTTTGGTTACCAGCAGAGATCTTCCTCCTCCTCATCACCTGCAAGTAAAAATCCGTTCTGCTGACCATCTGTGATGTTTGTGTTTGATGTCTGCTGCTGTGGGAGGAGCTTATCTGGACTCTTGTGGGAGTAGCGTATCGGGACTCCTGTGGGACGAGCTTATCAGGACTCCTCTGCAGTTTCTCTTTGATTCTAAGCTGTCGCGGAAAAAACTGTCTCAAAACCAGATCAGCAAGATGTAAAGTCTTACATGTTGTGGAGGATGACCAGGCTATTGGACTAGAACCTTCATGACGTGTGGTCCAACCATTGGACCACTGAACATCCTCTCCACCCGAGACCCTGCTCTCATGGAAACCCACCATGTGGTCCCAGCAGGTTCTGGTGATTCTGGCTGAGTCTCCTCTGAGTCTGCTGCCCATCACTCACAGCCAGTTGCTCCAGCAACTCCCTGATAACACTGCAGTGCCTCTCCTGGCAAGTAGGTGTCTCTGCAGACAAAAATGGAAGGCGTATCCAGAGGGCAACATCTGATTGGATGAGATAAAAAAAAGGCTGGACAAAAAAAAAAACGAGTCGTTTGTGTTAACCACTGACATATTATGTCTTTGGTGTTAACTGGTTCAACATTAGTGGCATCTCCATAACTTCTCTTTCCGCCTCTCGTGCTAAAAGTTTGTTTTTTAATACCTAGCCATTACATAAAAAAAAAAAAAAATCCGTTTTGGTTGTTGAAAAATGTGAAAATAGTTACAATCAGTTCATAAATAGACTAAATAAGACTTCCGGTAAGATGGCGCCCATGTACATGGCTTGCAATTCACCTCTGCTGACGGTGTTCGGATTATTTTTGTTTAGTTCGTTTTTTATCTGACATTAACTCACTACTGATGTATGACCGACAACAGCTTCTGGATCTTTGGTTTTCTGTCACTGATGTCGCTTCTTTGGAACATTATGAGCGTACCACTGGATACCCCCCCCCTGCTGGCGGACGTGCCTGTTTACCTCCGCTGCACTCCTCACCTGCCTGCCCAGAGACATCGCTTCGGATGCAGGGGAAAACGTGCTGGGCGGCTGTTAAAGCTTAAAGCCCTGTGCGCTGCATCTTCCTCTTCCACTGGTGGTCATGGTTTCCATCGCCAGCTTCCCGCGTGCCCGGACCAGGTAAACAACGGGAGTTGTCGGTCGGTGCGCAGCTCGGACTGACCCGGAGGGGCTGTTATTGAAAATCTGAGGCCACTGATGTGCGCAAACTCCACCGCTGCTAGCTCCACTTTGGACAGTATCCGGATGTGTTTGGTCAACACAAGATCTGTTACCAACAAAACTTTTATCCTCAGGGACTACTTTCAAGAGTACGAGTTGGACTTTCTGTGCATCACAGAGACTTGGATGTCTCCGGGTGAGTCCAGCGCCTTGACGGAATTATTGCCACCGAACTGTTTGTATTTAAACGCCCCGCGGCCATCAGGCCGGCGCGGTGGTGGATTATTAACAATATTCAAATCAACTTTTGACTGTAAACAACTGCCCATCCCAGTTTCCTGCGCCAGCTTTGAGCTGAGCATCTTTGAACTCGGACATTCACCTCAGACTTTATTTGCACTCGTCTACCGCCCACCTCGGTCTAAGGATTTCAAAATTGAGTTTTCTGATCTTCTTGGCTGAAATCACACCAAAATATGATCATGTTTTCATTATTGGGGACTTTAATTTGCATGTGTGCTGTCCTGAGAAGCCCTTGGTTAAGGACTTTTTAGATCTATTGGACTCATTTAATCTAACTCAGCATGTAAACAGTCCCACCCAAGAGCGAGGACATACACTGGACCTTGTTTTAACACGATGTGACTGTTAATAATCTTGAAATTGGTGATAATGTTTTTTCAGACCACATGCCAGTCCAGTTCGAGTTCACCTTCCCCCATCTAACTCCTAAGTCGTGCATTCCTGCACGTCGCAGCCGGACCATTAACCATTTCCTGCCGCACGTTTCACAGATGTTTATAACTCTGAAATGATCATTCAGCCCCCAGTGTTTCTCACCACCACTGAGGAGCTGACATCCCAGTTCAACTCTGTCTGCTTAAAGACTCTGGATCATGTTGCTCCTGTTAAAACCAAAAAATCAAAACTCAGAGCAGAACCTTGGCTGAGTGACGTCACCAAGGCCGTTAGGCAGCAATGTAGGAGGGCAGAGCGCAAGTGGAGGAAAGACAGGCTGCAGGTCTCTTTTCAAATACTTAAAGAGAGTTGGTGCCGTTATCAGAAAGCAGTGAAAGCTGCTAAATCCAAATACTTTTCTGATATCATAACCTCAAACTCTCACAACCCACGTGTCCTCTTCTCCACCCTAAACTCTGTTCTCCACCTCACTGAACCATCACCTCTGGAAGCCTTGACTGAGCTGTGCGACAACTTCCTACATTTCTTTTTGGAACAAATTGCGACCACCAGGGCTCTCATTTCCCCTCCAACTCATGACCCATCCATCCCACCTCAATCTGTAGCTCCTTTTGACCATTTTGAACCCATCACTCTATCTTCTCTAGAGCAGGTCATGTGCAACTTGAAACCTTCTGGTTCCCCCTGTGATGTAGTCCCCCCTCGACTACTAAAGGAGGTGTTTCCAACTCTAGGTCCGTCCATTCTTGCCATAGAAAACAGTAGTTTATCCACTGGCGTGGTGCCAAAATCCTTTAAACATGCTGCTGTCCAGCCTCTCCTGAAAAGCCAAACCTTGACCCCTCAGTCGTTTCCAACTTCCGGCCTGTCTCCAAACTCCCATTTGTTTCTAAACTACTGGAGAAAATAGTTGAGTCCCAGTTGAAGTGCTTCCTGGAGGATCACGCCATCTTAGAGCTTTTCCAATCTGGCTTTAAACCTCTCCACAGCACTGAAACTGCCCTGCTGAAGGTCTTTAACGACATCTTCCTAACCACTAGTAAAGAAGTCTGAAGTCATGTTGTTCCCTCCCAACGACACGATCACAAACCACTGCATCGACCTCTCCGCTCTAACCCTGTCAGAAAAACAAAGAGTCACTAATCTGGGAGTGATAATGGACCCTTCCCTGAAACTTAACAATCATGTAAACATGATCGTTAAATCATGTTTCTTCCAACTGAGGCGGCTGTCTAAACTGAAGCCCATATTGTCCAAAAAGAACCTGGAGACAGTAATACATGCATTCATTACATTTAGGCTTGATTACTGCAATTCACTCCTGTTTGGTATCAGTCAGACCTCCATTGCACGACTACAACTGGTCCAGAATGCAGCAGCCCCATTTTTAACCAGTACAGGCAAAAGAGAGCACATTACACCAGTTTTGGCCTCACTGCACTGGTTACCAGTTCACTTTCGAATCCAGTTCAAAATACTCCTGTATGTCTACAAATCACTGAACAGTGTCCCCCCCCCCCCATCTCTCTGATCTGCTACAACCCTATGTCCCACCACGCTCCCTGAGGTCAGCGGACCAGTTGCTCCTCACAGTTCCAGGAACTCGTCTTAGGCGCAGAGGTGACAGGGCCTTCTCTGTAGCAGGACCAAGCCGTTGGAATGAGTTACCTCTGCTTGTCAGACAGGCCCCTCCCTCTCGGTTTTCAAGTCCCATTTAAAAACTCACTACTATTCAGTATCTTTCAACACCAGATGATCTGTGTTTGATCCTGTATGCTCCACACTGGTTTGTCGTCATTATCTGCATCGTTTTTATGTCTATATTCTGATTTACCTCATTTTGTATTTTGCTTTGTGTGTTACCTGTTGTTCTGTCTGTACAGCACTTTGGTTGGCCTTGTTGCTGTTTTAAGTGCTCTATAAATAAAGTGGTATGGTATGGTATAAATAAATAAAAATAAAGTAACCAAAATAATAATGATACTTGAACTGTCTTTTGGACAAAGGATGTTTCTTTAACTTCACATTTTCTTGTTCAACTCTTAAATCAGTCGCTGCAGATGAGTGATTGTCAGTTTCTGTCAGAGTTCTGCAACTGGAGCAGGTATTCTGTTTACTGGTTCACTTCCTCAGCTGTCTCACATTTTAAGGGTCAGTCCTTCTCCATGTTTCAGCTCCTCTCATACATCACATCTCATAGAAGAACTTCTAAAGAACATTTTGTTTTGGGTTGTTAACTCGTTACAGGACTCATGATCTTTAATTGAGACCAGACGTTGAGACAAATGGAGCAGGTTTCTCTTCAGATGCTTCATATATTTCATTGTACCCAGACCAGACTCAAGACAACCTGTGTCAGGTGCAGCCTACAAGAACTAAAGAGAATCTTCTTGTGTTTGACAGTAGATTTAACGCTGGTTCTTGGAAACCTTCAGTTTTAAAAAAGACCTGACGTAACTTAACTAAAGAGCAGCAGATACAGCTGCCAGTCAGTGCTTGTCCTCTACAAACGCCTGTTCTCCAGAAACGCACTCTTTCGGTCTGCAGAGAACTCTAGTCTCTCCTGGTGCCACCAGCTCTGGTGCAGATGTTTGTTAATCACAGACATCTGATCTGTGGAGAACCAAGGTCCTCTCAAACAGGTCGGTTCCTGTGAGCTCCTTCAACACGTCTCAGTTTTCTGTGGCAGCAGTAAATTTTTGTCTTTACGTTCGTTAACTTCAGGTAAAGTTTGATGAAAAGCAGAACTCCGTCTCCTGCTGGTACACATCTGTTCGTTTTATTCTCTAATCTGTCGGTTCCTGACGTTTGAATCGTCATTCGAATAATCTGAACAAAAACTTGTTTTTTTACTCGTCTCTTGCTCGTGGGCGTGCAAACATTTGCAACATTTACTCTGCCCCGCATTCGACCAAAAATCATTTCTGAAAACAGAGAAAACCATCTAACAGTGACCGTTCAGGACCAGAGTCTGGACCAGGGACTGGACCAGGGTCTGGACCAGGGGGCTCCGGATGTTCATGTATCATCAGTTGGACTGAGACAGACTGTGGGGTTTTCAGATTAGTGACAGCGAGCAGAAACCCTGGTGAGACTCAGTCTGGGTCTGTGGTCCCCCACAGGATGTTTGAGTCACGTTTAAAAACAAGTCCAGTTTCCCAGCATGCATCTGTGTTTGGTAAGAAGCCTGGAGCTCCACTCTCTGTGGTCTGAAGAGGTTTCATTTAGGAGATGACTGTTCTGATTTCCAGACGACCTTCAAAAAGAAGTTTCCTTTGCAAAGACGAGTTTATCTGATCGCTGCCGGGAGATTCATGACGTGATCCAGATGTTGTACTTTGACCTTTGTCTGTAGCCTGAAGCAGCAACACGAAGCAGCGACATGATGAAGCAGCAACACGATAAAGCACCAACATGATAAAGCAGCGACAAGAAGCAGCAACATGATGAAGCAGCAACATGATGAAGCAGAAACATGATGAAGCAGCAACAAGAAGCAGCAACATGATGAAGCAGCAACAAGAAGCAGCAACATGATGAAGCAGCAACATGATGAAGCAGAAACATGATGAAGCAGCAACAAGAAGCAGCAACAAGAAGCAGCAACATGATGAAGCAGCAACA